GACATACATACACACATGCATGCATTTTGCCATGTGGGTGCTCTCAGTGGTGTGCAAAGCTTAATTAGGGCTTGCACAGGCTCTTGGCAGTGTGCACTCGGTTAGGACTCAGCATACCCGGCACGGAAATCTGCCCAGCCCCACGATGACAGGGCGCAAAGCCTCCTGAAAAGTCCAAGCGGCGCTTACAAAACTGCGACAAAGAAGGTTAAGGACGGGTAGCAAGAGAAGAGCCGGCAAGGCAAGTGTCCACATACATACACATGCATACATACATACATACATACCTACGTACGTACATACATACATACATACATACGTACATACACACGTACATGCATACATGCATACATGAACGCACACACATACATACTAAAGAAAGGAGAAATGAACATCAATGACTAGTGATGCCAACGATGATAACAAACATGATAAGGTCGGAAGTCACAGTGGCCATGGCCACGGCAACAGCAGTCGCATTGGCGATAATAACACTACTGGTCGGATCTTGAACCTGGTGATAACTAGCCATTCAAGTGTGGGTACCCACCGGTCCTGTGCAGGTGTGCGGGTAAGCGCATTAACCGCAACAGTCTATATCTATACATATAAAATCATATCTCTATATATATATATGTGTGAGATCGACAGACAGAACAAACAAAGAGACGAAGAGATACAGATCTATGGATAAGTATTGCAAAGCGGGGAGAGATTCAGACACACGGAGGGATAGCTAGACTCTGGACAGGCAATAGATAAGTAGAATTAATTTACTAAATGGATGCATACGTATGTAGGTAGACCAAGACCAACACATATGCACATGCTTATATCTCCACGCTTGAAACTACAGAAGCTCGCAGACAGACATCACGTTCTGGATCAGCACGGCTGTTGACTCGAGGTGCCTGCTTGTAGAGGAACCCACTGCGGCTTACCTGCAGGAGCTCACGAACTCCAGGACTGGACTAGCTGAACATGCCCATCGATGGCACACACTCTCCGAGAGTCAGAGATGATTTGATTCGCCATGTCAGCCTCAACGGGCCCGAAGTACTCACCGTTGAGGTGGAGAGGCGCGGCTGCAGAAGCGTTCACGCGCAAGGACTCCTGCAATTACACTTCCAGGAAGGGTGAGTATGAGCTTCATAGTCATACCATGAAGGAAAACCAAAACGAAGTTGCCATGCGGGTACTCACAAGGCAAGGGAGCCGTTCTTAACACAAGTGTGGAAAGAATTTGTGCAACTCATACACGCAGCCCCGCATTCTACTCAGATCGTTGTTGTGGTGAGGCTACGGCATGAGTCCTTTCCAACTTCTTCAACATCAAAGATCATCTGTTACCAGGGTTTACTCGGGAATACTGCAAAGTCCTGATCCAATTCCAGCCCTGCGCTGGGCAGGCAAATGGCACTGACCTCGACTGCCATCACACACCTTCGGAATTCTCTTCTATGTCAATCTGACAGATCCAAATCGCTGCTTACTTCCCTACTGCAACAAAACTCCCCAAAAACACTGGAACTTGAACAATTGGTAACTTGTGAGGCAAAGTGTCTGCGAGGAGATAAATCCTCATCTTCACCACTGGATCACTGGGGCACTACGAACGTGCGCAAGCAGCCGACGTCCTGGCCAGGTATGGTTGAAGCCTTTCGTTCCTCTGAGACCCATGTCAACGCACCGTCCTGTGTGATTTCATAAGATGTCCACCGGGAGGGATGGAATGTATACGCAACAGACTACTCGTGAAATTCTGGCGGATTACCACCAGACTTGGGCCAAAACCACACGACAGTGTTGTTGTGGGTCCTGGCGCCTGGTGGCTGATAACTTCTCGCAATTGTTGTTGAGACGACCGCAAATGGTCGATTATTGCGCCACCAATTTGCCACATTGAAAACGAAGCCGTGCTTGCAATGCAGTGTTCACATGACTCATCATTTCAGCTCCCGAAAAAATATGTTGGCTGGTTGCAAGTCTGATGGTGCTCGCCAAAAACGTCCGCTCCGATCGAAAGCAAGCCAGGAAACCCAAGTCCAACAGAAGAATTGTCACGATGAGTGACATGTCACATGACGACGATCAACACCGTCGCGCTGCAACAATCATGGAAACCGGCAACAAGAACGTTCCATAATAACGCACATGAGGTTGCGCACTGAAACTGGACTGGGCAAAACGACATGAATCGCAAAAATGCCAGACGGGGACCCGTCCGAGTCCCGCGATCCAACTTGAACCGAACCCAGCACTAGACCTGTATCTGCTACCGGAAAACTATTCTTCAACGTCTGTTGTGAGGGATTGCTCGCGGCGTCTACGGGCCTGGGGCTGGGGAGAAACAAAAAACACCAGAAACAAAGAAGAACCGATCGTGACGGGAACCAGACACGGCGGGTGTGTGTCGGGAACAGGCCAGACAACAATCGCATAAGGATCCGGCCATAGTTACAGGAGCGGCGAAACCCGACATGAAAAAGAGTGACTACTTTTTCTTTCTTCTGTAGCCTGAGGCATGTTATGGTTGATCCAGCCCAGACTCTATTTTCACGGGCTGCAGCGCTGCTTAAGCTGAACCAAAGCAAAGCTGAAGCTACCACGTAAACCTCGATTCTAAAAAGAAACAATGGCGAATCAAAGAACAAGCGGAAAACTACCACTGCTCCTCGATCCATTTCTTTGTATCTTCCCTTCGATGGAGGCTAGAAAACACTTACGTCTTTTCCGCATAGCCAAAAGACGCCGATCTCGCGGACAATCCAGTCATCTCTGTGCAATTGAATCATCGACGCCAGCACACAGCAGCATCGGGTCGGGAACATAATGGCGTTGTCATGGGGAAAAGATGTTAGACACTGAGACTCCAAAAGCACAAACTTAGACATGCGTGAGTGTTTCAGGAACCTCCTGAATGCAAAAGATAAAAGCAAGCAGCCGCGACGACGTGCATCCTTGGGCACTTGGAAATTGCGTTTATGCAAACCCTGTCCACCACTTCGGCATATTCTTGAAAAGCAAAAGCTGCCCAATCTTTCAAGTATCGCCTCCACTCAAGACGTGAAGAGGGAACGGACTGCAGAAGCCACGCAGTATTGCCTCAGAGCTTGAAATCCATTCATGTCCTTGGGACCTAGTCAGACTCAATTGCACCAGCATGCTAACGATGGGATTTGTAGACCTCGCCAAACGCGACAATAAGTGAATTCCAAAGCAATTCCCAAATATATTCTGCTCTGTCAGCGTGGTGGACTTATAAAGCACTCCGTCAGCACAAAGCTCGAAAATCTAAAAATAATATGGATGTTCCCGCCTCATATTGTGAACATCCATGTTCGGCAGAATGAGTGAACGCTCGAATAACGCTATCAGTCCGGAACTCCAGACCCTCTACGCAAACATCAGGAGCGATTTTGGCTGTTTTTGCAGCAGCAGTGCGGCCTGGAAAGCAATATTTCAGCAAGCTGTGATGAACAGCCAAACAAAAATACCAGAAAATGGTGAAGTAATGAACGTGAAGACGACGCGGTTCGTGGGTGTTCCTCATTGGTGGGTTTTTGTTTGCATGTACTCGCCGACCCCTTTGTGCAACGAAAACATGTGCCCTGGATGCACTGCAAGAAATCTTGATTTTTAGATAAACCCATCCCGGAAAAAGAGTTAAACCCGAACAATTGAATCGCTTCAAACGGCGTTATTCAACAACCG